TAATATATTTTATGGGTAGAAGTGGAATATTAAAAAAACCATAAGGGCATAATGGTCCAAAATTTGGCTCCCCTCCAAAAACCCCCAATTTGGAGGGGAGCCAAAATGGGGGAGGGGAGGGGACATTTTAGCTCCCCTCCCCTCCAAAATTTTAACCAAATGAGGGGAGGGGCTCATTTTCCCTCCCCTCCCCTCCCCTCCCCTCCCTCCCCTCCAACCAAACACACGCTAGGAATGGGAATTGTGCTGCTGATTGGCTGGCAGCTCAAACTATGGGAGGATTGGCACCGCAAGGATGGTTGTCAAAACCACCAACCTCTCTGATCGAGCTGCTGAGGAAGGACTTGGAATTATTGGAGCCCGTGGAGGAGATTAGATCAGGTATTGGTTAAGAGTCTGTTCTTTGTTTTTTTAGGCCGGTGTTTTTGCTTGTTTTATGTGAGTTTTTTGTGTGTTAGGTTGTATCTTAGGTTTTCTTTGAGTGTTTCGGCTATTGGTGTTTGTATTCTTGTTTTGACTATTAATAAAATTGACTTTTTTGACCCAAAAAAAAAAAAACAAAGTGGAGACCTCCAATATCTTAACTAAAAGATAATACTACCTCCGATCCTAATTATAAGATCCAGTTAACTAATTTGAGGACATTAAAAAAAGAAGTTAAGTTAGTTATTTGTAATAAATAGGCATTGTCTTTCCTAAAATATCCTTACTAATAAACTATATTGGGTAGGACTACAATTATTATAAGGACTATCTTGGAAAAAAATGCATAAATATGAGAGACATAGTGGATTGGGGTCTTATATTTAAGACCAAAATAAAAGTCAAACATGGTCCTATGTTAAGGACTGAAGGTAGTATTTGCCAATTGAGTATTTATTATGAAGAAGTTTTTGTTTCTACCCTGATGTCTAGAGAAAATTTATAAAAAAGGACCGTTATTTAAACAGAGAAACCTCCATCTGCATATATAATTTGACCAGTGATGTATGAAGCAGCAGGAAGGCAAAGGAAAGCAACTAGCGCTGATATCTCTTTAGGCTCTCCCGTGCGATTCATAGGAATTTGAGATACAATAGAATTCACAGCAGTTTCTCCGCCAGGTTCTTTCTGCAAGAAGATCAGACATATTGAGCATCAATTCTCACTTAACATGAATTCATATGGAGGAAGGAAAAATATGACAATACTTTTGAAAACTGGCAAGATAATACTAAATACTGATCACAACTGAGTGCAGATATATACTAGTGATCTGCCTCAACATAGATATGAACTAATTAGACATCTGCTTGTAATTTTATACCAAGCTAGACTCCAAAAGCGAGGTCATAATAGTTCCTGGTGCAACTGCGTTTACACGAATATTATCCTTTGCCCATTCAAAAGCCAAGTTCTTGGTGATTTGATTCATAGCTCCTGAATAAAATTACAGAGATAATGAGTAAAGGCAGAGGAAATGTAATGCTTGGAATTCGGAATTAGACATATCAACTACTATGTCCTAGAATCTTAGAAATGCACTTATTCCTTCCTGAAACTTCCTGGTTCATTATCAGTTAGCTCCCCGTCAATGGAAAACAGGGCAAAATTATGACACAAGTACAAATTTATTCCATGGAGTAACAACCAACAAGATCTAAGTAGTATGGTTCCTTGCAAAAATATACCTCTGGATGCTGCACAGGCTGAAACAAGAGGCATAGCTTTCACACTCACAATGGAGGAGATATTTATGATGTTACCATATCCTGAAGCTTTAAGGAGTGGATGTGCAAGTTGGCTCAAATGGTAAGCAGATTCAAAATTGGTGCCCATAAGAGTGGATACATCTTCAGCAGTTTGATCTGTGGCTTTCTTATATATGATTGTCCCAGCGTTGTTTATCTAACAGAAGAAAACTCTTGAAGTCAATTTAATCGCCAATTTAGGAAAGAAATATCATCATGTCCAAAGGATAACAAATAGACACTTGAAAAACACAAACTAACCAGATTGACATTTTGAGAATTTGTAGTCCTTAGAATGAAATCTTTAACTTTCCCACAAATTAAACAATCAAGAGACTGAGAGAAGCTTACAAGGATGTTAAGCTTTCCAGGAAAAATGGAGGCAACAGTTTCCATTAAATTTTGGCGCTGGTGACTTGAGAACACATCACAGACTGATCCAGTAACACTAAATCCTTTACTTCTCCATTCTTTCAAACACATATCGATGTCTGCTTGGTTACGGGAACATATATGCACAGCTGCTCCAAATTCTGCCAGTTCTTCTGCAATGGCATGCCTATATCCAAATCAATAAACTTAAATCAGTAGCAGAAAGTAGGGAATGAAATGAACAGAGATCAAGTTTGAATGAAATGGAAATAATGACAAGTTACCCGATGCCTCGGGTTGCTCCGGTGACCAGAGCAGTCATCCCACTCAGCGACCATCTCTTGTCTCTGCAAATCAGTTTTGTCTCACTCATTTTCTCTATGGATCCCCTGGAGTGGATGGTGAGAGCCAACAATAATAAAACCTGCCAACTTCTGTGAGGTCCTCGTGATATCAACTGCACGGACACGATACTTGGGATCTGCATTTAGTGCTTATCGGAGTGCTTGATGAACAATCTGGACCGTTCAAATCTAATCTAGATAGTCTAAATTTAATATTTTTAAATAATTATTTTAAAACAGAAAAAATTATTTTTTTTAAATAATGATAGTTAAAAAATTATCTTTATTTTTTATCCTATATTTATTAAAATAATTATTTTAAAAAAATAAAAATAAAAATAAATTAAATCTAGACCATTCAGATCAGAAGATCTAATATGATGAGCACGTAATGCAAATCCTGATATTTGTGTGGTTATATTAAGAGGGTGCTGCAAAGTCAAGGGTTTAATTAAGATTTAAAAAAGAAGTATAGATACCAGAATAAATGCTTCTTTTGTTCATTGCTATTAGTACAATGGCATTTCATATTAGTTAGTAAGTGGATAATTAATGCTTCCTCTACGTTCGTTCCCCTTGTCTCGATCTCCAGCCCGACAATCTGTCTCATGGTTCAAAAAATCAAAACGCAGCGACAATTACCTTTTCGTTTCTCAATCGAAATAATGTTCCATCATATATCATTATCTTCTTCTTATTGTTGCGTTGCTGCCAGTTAAATTTTCTTCGCTCTCTCTCTGTTTTTTTTTTTTCCCCCTCCTCGATTCTTACTTTTGTGCTAGAAATATGTCTCCTAAAAACACTCTGACAGTCTCGTTATTGAATCCTGGAATGGGCCTGGGCCGAATGTGGGTCTGGTTAATCTGGCCCGACTTCTAAATCAACTTTTGTCCGGAAAACATGTCATCCCCAAGGTGGACTAATCGTTGGAGCATTTGGTCCAGCTCAATTTTCAAAACACTATGTAAATGATGAAAACTCGTAATTATAATAAATTTTAAATTTTGCTTAATAATTAATTTAGCTTAAAAATTCGATCCTTCAATACTATTCTTTTAATATTTTTAAAACCTTCATTCTCCATCTTTTTTGGTACGCTCAAATAGTTCCATTTCTGTTTTTACGTACAGGTGTCTGACAAGAGGATATGAAAATTGTTATGCGTGCGGCTGTGTATGTCCGTCCCCACTCCTAATCCTGTGATGCCCATAATGGTGGGCTTGCGTCTCTTGTTTCTTTCTTTTTTTTTCTTTTAAATTCTTTTCTTTTTCCTTCCAGTTTTCCTTTTTATTTATTTCCTCTTTTGAGGCCTGTAAAAAATAAATTGAGATACTATCATAAAGTCTAAAATAATTATTTACGTGGAGATAAAAATATGATAAGATTTCTTTTTAAATATATAATTTCATGCATTTAGTATTTAATTCAAAATATCCACAATCAATAAAAATTATCACACTTTAATTAATAATTATTTCGAAAAAAATATCAAATAATATATTAAAATAAGAATTTATCAGTGTCTTTTTGTTGGAAGTCGGGACATTAAATGTGGGCATGTAACTTGATAAGAATTTGAACTTTAATTTATCACGTTATCGTTTTCTACTAAACCTAAATCTTATTGGTTCAAATAATTCCATTGCGATAAGTGTGTAATTAAAAGCCCATTGGCTTTTTTCAAACTTTCTAAAGCCCACCGGTTCACAGGAAGCTAAGTTTATATTATTGGGACTCATGCAAAATCCCAATCCAAATTTTTTTTACTATAACTCAGCATCCTCAAATCATTTTAAGATTGAGACTAATCTCTGTTGAATCAAGAGTTTAAACCAATCTTGGTAAATAAAGTTCAAGAAATAGTAATTATGGTTAATATAATTTTTAGTACCTTAAATTTGCACTAATTTTGGTTTTAGTCTCTTGAATTTCAAACTATAAATTTTAGTTTTTTTAATGAACAAAATGATCCAAGTTTTTATTAAATTATAGAAACCAATGTTTTTAAATGAAAAATGCTTGAGAAACCCAAATATATGATTTAAAACTTGAGTGATTAAAATCAAAATGAGAACAAATTTGATGTACTAAAAATTGCATCAGCTCTGATTATAATGATGATGATGACGACTTGAACATTTTAGAACCATGCTGCCAAATTAAAAACAATCTGCATGCCCAGAGCAAATACTAATTATCCTTGGCAATTTCATGAAGACGCTAATCTCAGCATGCACCTGAGCTGTAATTGGAGGTTTTCTTTTTAGGGTCAGTTAATGTTTCTGTCACTGAAGTTCACATCTCAGCATCTTCCTTCCACTTTTCTCAAAGCTATGCATACGTCCCAAAACGTGGTTTCATGTATATCCTCTTTTCCCATACTTCTCTTTATGTCTCTTGGAGCATTAGATTGGGATATAGACGGTAAATAATAATTCCCTACTTAAGCTAAAACAAGAAAACAAACATCGGCTTGTCATCCCAAATAATAAAAAAGCAGCAGAAAACATACATAGTCGAGAGAAATAACTCGCAGGCCTCTAAGATCTTAACTTTAAACAGAGAAACCTCCATCTGCATATATGATTTGACCAGTGATGTATGATGCAGCAGGAAGGCAAAGGAAAGCAACTAGCGCTGATATCTCTTTAGGCTCTCCCGTGCGATTCATCGGAGTTTGAGATACAGTATGATTCACTGCAACTTCTCCACCAGGTTCTTTCTACAAGAAGATCAAACATATTGAGCATCAATTCTCACTTAAACTAACATGAATTCATATACAGGAAAGAAAAATATGACAATACTTCTGAAAACTAGCAAGACAATACTAAATACTGATCAAAACTGAGTGCAGATATATACTAATGACTGCATCACCATAGATATGAACTAATTAGACATATGTTGGTAATTTTATACCAAGCTAGACTCCAAAAGCGAGGTCATTATGGTTCCTGGTGCGACTGCATTTACACGAATATTATCCTTTGCCCATTCTAAAGCCAAGTTCTTTGTGACTTGATTCATAGCTCCTGAATAAAATTACAGAGATAATGAGTAAATTTGCTCAAAACTTCATGATAGTTTGTCACAATTAATGAGCAAAGATAGAGGAAATGTAATGCTTCGAATTTGAAATTACATACTACCTCCAGTCTTTAATATAAGAACTAGTTTGACATTCAATTTAGTTCTAACTATAAAATCTTAATTCACTTATCTCTCATATTTATCTATTTTTTTATCAAGATAGCCCTTCTAGTTGTACATGTTAAAGATTTTATGGAATGTATCTTTAAGAGACAAAAAAAAAAAAGGCATGTTTCCTTGCAAAGATATACCTCGGGATGCAGCGTAGGCGGAAACAAGAGGCAGAGCTTTCACACTCACAACGGAGGAGATATTTATGATGGTACCATATCCTGAAGCTTTAAGGAGTGGGTGTGCAAGTTGGCTCAAATGGTAAGCAGATTCAAAATTGGTGCCCATAACAGTAGATACATCTTCTGCAGTTTGATGTGTGGCTTTCTTATATATGATTGTCCCAGCGTTGTTTATCTAACAGAAGACAGCTTTTGAAGTCAATTTCATTTCCGATTTAAGAAAGATATATATATATATATATATATCATCATGTCCATAAGATAACGAATGGACGCAAGAAAAACAAAAACTAAACAGATTGACATTTTGAGAATTTTACTTTCATTTTCCCACCAATTAGCCTGAGAAAAGCTTACAAGGATGTTGAGCTTTCCACGAAAAATGGAAGCAACAGTTTCCATTAAATTTTGACGCTGGTGACTTGAGAACACATCGCAGACTGATCCAGTCACACTAAATCCTTTGCTTTTCCATTCTTTCAAACACGCATCGATGTCTGCTTGGTTACGGGAACATATATGCACTGCTGCTCCAAATTGTGCCAGTTCTTCTACAATGGCATGCCTATATCCAAATCAGTAAACGCAAATTAGTAGGCAGAAAGTACAGACCAATATATAAACAGACATGAGGTTTGGATGAACAAGTTACCCGATGCCTCTGGTTGCTCCGGTGACCAGAGCAGTCATCCCACTCAGTGACCACCTCTTGCCTCTGCTCATTTTCTCTAACAGCGGATCCCTTGGCCGGAGCGGATGATGAAAGCCAACAATAAGAGAACCTGCCAGCTTCTGTGAGGTCCTCGTGATATGAAATGGCACGTAAAAAGTATTGTGTGGTCCAGGACTCATCATCTTCATGAGTACTATAAGCTTATTAGATTTAAACTGTTTATATTTGATTTAAACAGTTCAGATTTAAAATATTTAATTAATTAATTTTAAATAGGAAAAATTATCTTTTGAAAGAATGATTGTGAAGAAATTTTCTCTATTTTAGATCTTATACACATTAAAATAATTATTTTAAATATATAAAAATAAAAAAGAAATCAAATTCTGATTATTTAAATGAAATATGAATAACTCAGGTTTGATAAGTTTAAGGTATTTATTAAAGTGATGAGTACCGAAACTAATTCTGACGATGCTGCAAAGTTAAAGATTTAAGAGAAAATATGGTTACTTCAAAAAATGATTTTTGCCTCTTATTTAGATATTTTGGTCACGCATGGAAAGAAGAAGAAAGTGACATTTCACTTCGTTTATTCAGCACTACGTTCTGCTCTTTCCTGTTTAGGAGTAAGTCCAAAATTAAACGCTTCCCCTGCGTTCGTCTCTTTCCAGTTAATTTCCGGTCTGAAATCTCTCTCGCGTCTGAAAATCAAAACAACGGGTACAGTTACCTGGGTAGGCCCCGGCCCAAACATGGACTTTGGTAAATCTGGCCCAACTTCCAAAAGAGCTTTTCTCCAAAAAGGCCTGTCATTCCTAAGTCCAACTAGTGGTTGGATATGTAAATGATATATACTCATAATCTGGTCACTAAATTTGTATTTACATAAGTAATGACTTTTAAAATATGCTTAATAATTAATTTAATTTATAAATTTGATTCTTCAATATTATTATTTTAATATTTTTTAAAACCATCATCCTTCCATCTTTTTGGTACGGTCAAACAATTCCATTTCGGGTCAACATGGGCTGTGTCATTGTGTAATTAAAGCCTTTTTTTTTTATTACCAAAAGTAAACCATTTTTCTCTCAAAACTTGCTAAAGCCCACCAACTCAAAGGACGCTAAACATATATTATTGGGCCTTGTGCATAAGCCCAATCGAATTTTCGTAAATAAACTTTGATAAATAGTAATTATAATTAAAAACAATTTGCATGCCCATGACAAATTCTATTTATCCATGCCAACTGTAGATATTTTTCATTAAAATCATTAAGAAAAACTTAATTTAGTCTATTGAAATCAAACATTGTTCGCCACCTTTTATTTTCTTAAATGTTGCGCTAATCCTCAGTCCCAATAATATTCAGCATTTGATGATTGATTCAAATTAATTCCGTATTCCCAAAGGTTTTGAAATTAGGACACGTAAACTGGCTAATGAAAGCAACCCTGAAATTAATTCTTAGAAAATATTTTCATTTCAATTTCATTGTGTGTGACACGTGAATGACTAGTGAAGGTGGCATTTGGAATATTTGATGAGTAAATTATAGCTACAGGAGTGAAACAATGATTCTTAAAAATTTGGGGAAAAAAATCACTATACAATCTCACATAAGTAATCCAGTAACTACTGAAAAATCTCACAATAAGTGAGTAATATACACATGTTGTCATTTTCTGTACTGTAACTTGTGATAACATGTTTGTGAGTTAATAAATTGTTCACAAGAGACTACATAATAATTTTACTTAAAAATTTCTTCGCTAATTAAACTCAAATCACGCGACTAGCATACTGCCAAAAGGAGGGCGGTTCCTTCCCTATTATTATAAATCTCTAATTACACACATATATAAATATGTGCTATATATTATTTAATTGTAGATTATTACTGTTGATCTTGTTTTTAAATTCATAAAATTGATAGCGCTATCTAAACAAATAATTTTGGCCCTCGTGGATAGATCAATCGTCAAACGGTTTGAAAATCAAGTCACACTCAACACATTTCAATTTCATTACGCTACAAAAGCAATATGCGAAACATTAATCCAATAGCATTGTCTAATTACTATCTCCAATTTTTAATGTAAGACTTCGTTTGACTTTTATTTTGATTCTAAATATAAAATCTCAATCAACTTTATCTCTCATTTATTTATTTTTTTCAAGGTAATCCTTTTAATAATGGTAGTTCTAGCTAATACAATTGATTAAAAAAAATTTTTAGAAAAGACAATATTTATTTATTACAAATAACTAAATTAAATTATTTTTTAATCTTCTCAAATAAGTCAACTAACTCTTATATTTAGAATCAAAAGTAGTATATTTTAATCAATAAATAGATAATACAAGTTCAAGTAATTTATTACACACACACACAAAATATATGATAAGATCAAATTAGATGGCTACGCATGCTTCGTATTGACGTGGTTTGCATTTAATTAGTTGAGTAGGGATAGGCGTTTGAATATGAAAGATAAGTGATAATGGAGGAGAAGGCAAGGAAGAGGAGGGTTGACCGTGGACTTTTCACAAGGAAACAATTAGATGATTTTTGACCTTTATGTGTGTGTGTGTGTACACACACAGATTCACTTTCTTTTCATTATGTTTTAATCACTTCGAGCGTTTAAAAAAAAAAGAAGTTCAGTCATTCTACGTGCAGCACAAAGTCCTTAGTCATGCTATTTATTACATTTCAAAAAATACAAAGGAGAACGAGATTTAAATCTTAAAAGATTAAATAATAATACCAGTTAGGTTCTTGAAAAAGTAGTTGCAAATATTAATTCTGATAATTGTAAACAGAAATTTTAGTTACAAAGTAAGAGTTGCATTTAGGATTTAAGCGGCTGTTTGAATTAACATTTTTGTAAAAGTGACTTTTATCCTAATTACATTTTGCAAAATGAAATTCAGATAAAAAATTAATTAGTATAATATGATTTATGTTTGAATATACTTTTATTATAAAAAAAAATTTGAATACACATTTGGCTTTTGTAATCCCAAAAGCTCTAAAATATAGCTTTCGGTCTAATTTGATTTTTGGGAAAACAAATCATTTGACTTGAATGCCAATCCAAACATAATTTTTGGGTTCAATTGATTTTTGAACTTTCAGAGTAGTTTTTGATATTATTAAAGCCAATTTAAACAAGTCCTACTTGTTTTCATTTCTAATTTGTTTTTAAAAAAGATCAAATAATATTAATAAAAGAAAGAGTAATATTAAAAGTACAATACTGGCAATGAGTAAAGATAAGGAAATTTAGAGAACATCTGAATGAGAAGAATGCATCACTACTATATCTAAACAAAATAATAATAATAATAATTGGCAAAAGGAGATGATATCCTTCAAGATACCTTCATTCATTCATAGCTGGATCTGACAATTTTTGCAAATTGCTTGATTGAAGTCAACATTTGAAGCGATTGAACCTTAGAAGAAAAGAAGCGAGGATTAATAATCCAACAGAGGGAGGATCTGAGTTGTAGTTAAAGCTGTGCTCCCCGTAAAATCTCCTGGTCCATCTAAAATATTGTAAAAATTGACCCCGAAAACATATTCATAAATGACATATTGTAGACTTATTTCCTTTTCTGACCCTATGCAGTAGAATAACCCCACCAAAATTAATGAAGGAGAAATATGGATTCGGAGTATGAGCATTGCATTGGTACCAAGAAAAAGCAATATAATTGGTGCGACAAAAGCAATCTCAGAAAATGTGATAGTATTTCTTATCTGTTATGCAACTACAAGAGGATCCAATATAGATTTTTCATGTAAAGCTGTGTTTTATCTCCTCCAAATGGCATTATGACCCTTCATCTGAGAGCGAAGATTATACTTATGCAAATTAGTTAGAGTGTCCTTCAACCATAAAAGGAAATTAAACAAGAGGGATTAATATTATCAATTTTAATTTAAAAACATTTAAACCAGAACCGCTTTAGTGAATGGGCAGAGAAAAAAATGATCAGTTATTTCCTTTTAATGTCAACTAAAGAGACACAACCCGAAAACATTTAGATGATGCCTTATAAGAATGTCACATGATGGCAAGAAATTAAAGAAACCAGTAGCTTCCAAATGAACAAGAAAATTTTAATAGGAAGAGATATGGATCACCATAGAAATTTTCAAAGAGATTACAAACTGCATAGGTGTGTGTTGTCTGAGACATAGATATCTCTAATTGTATACAAGCAAATTTGCTGATATTTGAATTGATAAAAAAATTTGTCGGGAGACCACATTTGCTTATAAATTATTGATCATTATATTTATATAAAAGAGCAAGAGCATGTGAAGCGGGAGAAGTCGTTTACTTGCATCCCATGTAGTTTGGAAATAAGGAAGGGGAATTAGTAGGAGTGGAAAAGAAGAACCAAAAATTGAGGGTAATTTTTGTTTAAACAAATTTCTAAGATAAGGATCCTACCTACCAACCTACTGGCTTTGCTCCTTTGCTTAGCAGCCTACAAATATTTAAAGCCAACAAAATAGAAATTTTCAAACCTGGAAGTCGCACACATGCTCGTGGGTGTCAAATTATACGACAAAGCAATACACCAAAATGAACCTTAATTAACGCCTTACCGGTGCTGGGATGAGCATATATGTCACCACAACGCAATAATATATATGCATGTGAGCATCCTCAAGCAACACGCAAATAAAATTAATCATCGTCATTAATTATATATATATTTCAAAATGAATTGTCTCTTGAATTTTTTTGGCCAATAACTTATCTCATATTACTTTACATATCAACATGTTTAATATTTGAGACCATATTTAAATTGTATCTTTAATTTAATGCTGCCTCATATGTTGACATGATTATTATTTAATAACCATTAAGATAAGTCCGAATCTTACCATTTCATTTGTGAAGAAGAATTATATTTAAACACTGATTTGAAAAATTAATTAAGGGTGAAATTATTTGCTGGCCATAAATATTGACATTATTGTTAGATTTTACACAAACCTTTTACATATAAGAAGTTATTG